GATTCAGGTAGGAGTTTGAACACGTTCCACCTTAGCACAACTAAATTGCCAGCATGAAGAAGATTTACAAGCCCAGTTCAGATAGGTGGGACAATATTTAAGAACATGCTGCCAATATATTTTAAATCAAACAGCATTTCCATGGGAGTAACTGATTATTCTTAAAGTTGCAAAACAAAACATCCACCCAACCCAAGTTTACCTTAATTTCTGATTCTTTTACCCTTAACAGCACTATTTTTGTACTACAATTTCAGAGATTGGAAAGTACTTTCTTGTTCTGTTTCCAGTAGCTGCAAACAAGTGTGCATTCAGGCCAGGGATATTGTATGCACAATACGCACAACATTTTTTTGTAAATGTGTTTTGGCTAAAAATAAATGGAAAGAATTATCTAGGGAAGGAATTGCTCACATGGTAATGACTGGTTCAAATATAGTGTAGATTTGTAGTGACCACAAATTGTTATCCTTTACTTAGAGATTTTTTGATTTAGAGGGTGCTGTGAAAAATTCATGTAGGATGCGCAAAAAGCCACTGAGATTCAGCCTGGGCTCAGGTTCTAGTACATTTGTGTACTTCAGTCCAAGACTGAGAAAATGTTCCTAAGCCTGGTCTGAAGCTGCCCTACCTTCCCCACAAGTGCATCTCCTAGGAGGAGAACCCTTAAGACGATGCCAGCTACTGTGCTAGGGTGTACGCAGCTGGCTGGCAATGGGAGCAGGAGTGTTTTCCGTGATCTCACTGACATTTTGGGGACAGGGAAGTGGGTGCTTCCTAGCTTCTCCGCTACAGTGGGTGCCCTCTTGAAAAACCTGCTGGCACCCCCATGAAGCCCAAGGGAGAGCAGAGGGGGCCATTTAATCAAAGGAGCTCCGCATGGGGAGGTCACTGGGCCTTTTCTTGAAGACAAATGATAAGGAGGGGATCATTGAGGCATAGATTGTGTGTAATGGCGGAAGACTTTTCTGGGCAGTTGTGGTTTGTGTAAAGTCTCCATGCCAACCATTTTTACCATGGCTAGCCCTTTGCAAACTGGGCCCTGGAGGTTTCATGCAAGTCTAGGATAGGTAAACTGGGTTAAGCTGACTATCCTATTCTTAATGGATGCAGTTTCAAAAAAGAGGACAAGGCCTGACTGAGCTATCTCATCTCTACAGGGGGTCCTTCAAGGTCAGGATTAAGGCACATTGATGGGAAAGTGTGAAGAAACTTGCATTGCTGCTGTGTAGTACTTTTTCTGTGGACTTCGGTCCACAGGATTGTCTACATGGCACTTTTCACGTGTAGTAAACTCACTGAAAACTATGAACCTTCCTCCTACACAGACAGACACACAGAGTCTTACTTGTTCTGGGGTTCCATGTAAATAGTTTGCCGGTGCATACCATTCCACAGTATAATTACAGATCAACTTCTGTGGGGTTTTTTATGTAGAATTAAAAAAACACTAAGCAAAGTTCAGCAAGATATTATTTAGTTTCACCACCGGTTTCCCTATCATAATTTCTCTTTAACATTTGAGGACTGATTGTACAGTATCATACTGCCAACTGTCACTAACGAATGGCTTAGTGTTTCAGTCTTGCATGATTGGTTGCAGGCTGCTTTCCACTAAGTCCCTTACCCACGAAGAGAGAGCTCTTCAATCTAGTAAACAGCTGCACGGTATTACAGTGATGCATACCACATATTCCTGAGCTTCCAAATGCTTGTGCAGTGAACTCTGTTCCAATGCACGACTGAGCTGTATAATTTCTAGTAGCAGAGAACTTCTCAATTAGAAATTTAACACACTAGAAATAAATAAGTAGTAGTCACCTGCATATACATATTTAACATTTAAAAGCACACCGGAAGTCCATCTATCCACCATGTAGCATCTTACCAGGACTCATAAACTACTATTTTCCTTATTGTCAATCTAGTTTTAATTGGTAAAGCAAGAGACAGAGGTCACTGTTGTCACTTCTTTTTAAGGGTGGGGATCAAACAGTATTGTGAAAAGGCACATAAGAGAACCTAGATAGATCGATATTTATTTTGCTGCAGAAGCCAACATGATTGTATTTCTGTTTTTCTCTCACTGGGTCTCTGAATTCATTGCTTTTACTTCCAGTAAAGTCATAAGTCTGTTTAGTAGCTGTTGTATTGGAGCCCTCAGGAGCTCAGGTAGGAATTGATCTATTTTTAAATTAAGTTTTAGGTTGTTGAATCCAATTTTATGCAATTTGGTGGAAGTTATCCCCCTTTCAGAAGGCCCTCCATGTCATGGAAGCCCTGTTATACTCCTGCATGGCAGTGGAAGGAGTGTTTGGTGGGTAGGCAGTAGGAACCTCCACCAAAGCTTCTGCTAATTGCGGGGGGGAGAGGGGAGAGGAGGGCGTGGGAAGAGGGCAGAAGGCAAGCTTGTGTCCACACTTACAAGGATCCATGCACAGAAGCCTGTCCAAATGTGGTCAGGCAGCAATGGTTTGTAGGCATCATGGCAAAGGGACTTGAAGGAGGACAAGGTGACAACTTGACAGAAATTGTTTCCCATATGTAAGGCGCAGCATGGGTGAAAACACAAAAGTGCTTAAGCAAGATGTGCATTAACAGCTAATAAAGGCTGCTGTTGAACAAAGATGGAGGACGATGTTGCCATAGAATACCAGATCTCATAGGCAGTATGGCACTATAAGATGAAGGGCCTTGAAGATGAATACAGAGGTGTTTTGTTTATTGTGATGGGGAAGTGGGCGACCATGGAAGGGCACTAACAGGGATGGCATCCCAGAGCAATAAGTCAGGAAGATGATTCTAGCAGCAGTGTTTTGAATGGACTTGAGTGGGGCAAGGAAGGAGGAGGCAAGTCCAGAAAGAAGGAAATGACAGTAGCTGTGGTATGAGATGATGAGGGCTTGGACAAGAGCATGTTCTGTGGCAAGAGGTGACAGGATTTACATACAGGCTGGAAGAGTCTAAAGAGGGCCGAGTCAAAGATTATGCCCAGATTACGGGCCTGTGTCACAGGGAGGATAATGGCTGAAATCTTCTGTTTATCCGCACTGCAGGGCACAAGCTTCCACACGTTGCCCTTCTAGTGTGTCTCAAATCCAACTTGCAGGAACACTTTAGGGTGGTGCATATACTAGTTCAGTCTTGATGCCTGTTCAGTCATTGTTGTCTCTGCTGAGGTGGTCAGTCATGGCAAAGCCCTTTCTGATGTGGACACTTGTCCACTGGGAACTGGACTGAGAGCAGCAAAAAACCAGCAACAGAAGATAATTTTTTGGTCATGTCTGACCTGAGCTGGATTTATACTGGCAACCTAGAAGTAAAGGATTCTGTATGGCACTAGCAATCCCTGAGCTATCCAGCCTGCCACACAACACACAGCTCAAAGCTTGCTTATTTATTTACTTATTTAGGATTCTTATTCTAAGTTTGCTGAGTGCTATTCTTAATGAATGGAAAGCAAAGTACTAGAACAGAATGAAGGGTAAAGATCTGATGACAACTCGTGGGATCACCTTACATTCTGTTAATAATAGGCACACAGAACTGATACGAGTAGTTTGGGTACGCAGGAAAATGGATAAAATATTTCTTAGCTTATAGTACTCTGCAGAAAAATAACTCTTTGTGGACCAAGTCCTGACCTGTTTGAAAATAATAGGTCAGGTTCTGCTCTTAGTTATACTGGGCTGAATATGGAGTAACTTACTTAATTTCAGTGGAGTTACTTTGGCTATACACCGGGGTCACTGAAAACAGAATTTGACCCAATGGGAGTTTGTCATTGACTTCACTGGAACCAGGATTCAGCCATAATTGATAACAAAATGTCCTGTACCTTATTAACGTTTTCCAAACTTTTTAAAATAAAAACATTGTTTCATTAAAGCCACAAGTCTTCTGTGTATTTATAGACCTCAGACAGTGGAATTCTAAACAGCAGCAAGTGCAGAGGCAGGCTGCAGCCCAAACATTTGAGCAGACCACACTGCAGACTGCTCCTTCGTGGTTGACTCAACACATACTGAGTCTCTTCCAATTTCTGCTCTTGAACCACCAGCCGCAGCTTCAGGCATTTTAGTTGCACTTTGATTGTGGTCAGTTATGGGCCTGAAGAAAGGTGGACAGATCTGTTTGTCTATCAGTATTCATAGCTCACCAATCATCACAATATCTAGGTGTTGTGTATAGTAACTTAAAAAGCACCCCATAAACTATGGGAAAATTCATACCCGAGCTTCAAGAGTCAGGCCTGTCACAGTTCAAGGCCTTAATCCAACCCTAATGCTATCAAAAATGTAAGAAGGGAGATTTAACCTCCATGCTTCAGTACTTAAGCCATCTCTAAACTATTGGAGGTCAGGTTGAGACCTAATGTGGGGGAGCAGATTATCCCACATTTGCCTCTGTGGGGTCCTTTCACTTTCCTCTGAAGTATCTGGTACTGGTCACTATTGGAGATATGATACTGGACTAGATGGATCTTGGTTCTGATCCAGCATGGCAATTCCTATGTTCCAAATCCAAACGCTCCTAAACTTGGGAGAGGTTCAGGTCTGAAATTCACTGCTCAGCCCCATCTCTAACTACGACTTAGATTTCTACAGTAAATACTTGATATGTAAACAAATCTCCTAAGTTCTAAAGCAGAAGACTGATCCAGCTCTGACCCCACAAAGTTGATGTAGAAATATGAATATAAGAAACAGGCAGCTGTTGTTTCCCATTTTGACTTGGTTTAATTTGTTTTTGGTTGCATGACTCTCAGAAAGCTAACTGAGAAGGTAGAAATGATTGAGTCTGCTGCTTACAGTTTCTCGGATCAAAATGTGTTGCCATTAAATTTATTCCTTTTATTTTTTTCTCAGAAAATATCTCACTGATTTCTTTCATGACTAGCACACAACATTCTTTTGATCACCACGTATAAATGTTTAATCTTTATGTTTCTGTTATGCGTGCAGATGAAAAGTCTGTATTACTGTTGTGCTTTCTTTCAGGGGCTGGTGTCTTTTTCCTTTCTTGTGCCGAAGGAGAGCAGATCAGCTTTCTGTTCGACTGTATCGTTCGTGGCATCTCCCCGACGAAAGGCCCTTTTGGGTTGCGTCCAGTCCTACCAGGTTAATATAGGAAGTATAGAGTAACCGTGCAAAGTAGGAACTTGCCCTGTCTAGCACTTATTGCTCAGATTGGAATTACAGCTTGCAGACACTTGCTGGGCATGGAAAGTGCAAAGTGATTTTCATTCTGAAATGTCACAGTACAGATTTATCAGTTGAATGTCCCAGTTTCCCTTGCTGCTCTAGCTCATTCATATTTCTGCTGCTGCTGGCCTTTGCCTGGTCTTATCTAACTGTACCAAAATATAATATTCTGAATAGAGATGGGCCCAAACCAAATCTGGGGTTTGAATAGTTCCAGTTTGAACCTAGATCCATATCTGAATCTGGCTGCTGGTTGTAATATTGAAAATTTGCTGAGCCAAACCCCTAGAATACTAATTTTGGGGCTAGATGACATCTGAAGCCCATTCCAAAGCCCCCTGAAATCATTGGAAAAACTCCCAATGAACTTCTAGTGCTTTGGACCAGGCCCCTATATCCTGATCTCAATCTTGCAGGTCAGGCTTTTCTCTGGTGAGTAAGGATTAAATTCCTTTTTCTGTTTTGTGGTACATGCTGCATGCACTGTAGTGTTCAGAGAAGAAATTAGATGTGATCTTGCAGGAGTTCTATGGCCTTTTGGTTTTAGTAGGTGAGGAGGAGTTAGAAGGAGTATGTCAAGCAGGGCAGGAAGGTGGAAGATGAGCTTGTCGAACAATAGCTGTGAAGTTTCTGTGGTGAAGGAGGAAGCTTTTAAAATGGTGGAGGAAGGGGGATTTCACATTTTTAGCAAATGTTTGCACTTCCATAGCTAGGGGAATTTAATGGTTTTCATTATAAGAATAGTTTTACAGGATTTTTACCATTGCTGTAAACATGCAACCAAACCAATCTCTTGTGTTGAAATGTGATATAAAAGATTTACAGTAGAACCTCAGAGTTATAGATTCATAGATTCTAGGACTGGAAGGGACCTCGAGAGGTCATCGAGTCCAGTCCCCTGCCCGCATGGCAGGACCAAATACTGTCTAGATCATCCCTGATAGACATTTATCTAACCTACTCTTAAATATCTCCAGAGATGGAGATTCCACAACCTCCCTAGGCAATTTATTCCAGTGTTTAACTACCCTG